ATCATTGACAAGACCTGCTCAAGATGTGAGGTTGAGAGATGTCATTAATACAGAGCAAAATGGAGATATCTCACAGGACAAGCTAGAAAACTGGGGAGCAATGCAAGTGGTATACAGCTGACTGGGACAAGGGCACCAAGTCATAGTCACGATATTAATAATACTTTCTGACAAAAGATGGGAGTTCATCAGCAAAAAATAGCTAAAGAAGGACATGGATCACCATGACCAGTCAATCACTGATGGAACTCTACATAATGGAAATGTGTTCTTCAAAGTTATCAAAATGGCTAATTTCAGTGGAAATAGGGAAGCAGTATGCCATTGCATAGGCTCTTATACCATGTATACCTGGTTTCATCGAGCCATACAGGGACAAAGGGCCAGTAGGAGAGGGACAGCTACCTGAGAAGAAGAGAGGGTTTTTACAACCTATCGAGAGGCTGAGAAATTACTTCCTAGCAATACATATCAGCTTAAACACTATCAAGGGAAAAGAACTATTTAAGATGGGAATAGGTTTTGGCTCAAGATCAGTCAGTCATAAGACTATTACAGATAAATTTCAGCTGGCAATTAAAAGATACCTCCTAAGCAATAAGAAGCAAGGGAGCTGCAACTGTCTACCAATCAAAAAGCAACACCACTTGCCACAGGTATATAGGCATACACAAAAACCTCCCCAGAATCTCACTACTCAATTTTAAGACAAAAAGGTCTTTTAAGATAAAAAGGTCTCAGTGAAGAGATTTTCTATAATTAAGGAACTAGATTCAAGAGAACCCTTCCAACCCTCCATGGTACAAATCCAGTAATTGCATATCACAGAAGAATTATTGGCATTGATGGACTTACTGAGGCAATTAATTAGTTTACTAGCATCAAGAAACAGTAACCCACTTTTGTAGTGCAGCAAGACTGTGAGAAGAGTGGGAAAAGCAAGTAAAACTGCAAGCTGCTTGCCCAGAAGGTACATATGGTCATCTATAGGAGTCCTCTGATCACATACCTGTGGCACCACCTCGAGTGGTTCCTTTAGAGACAAGGCTCAGAGATGCATCAGGAGTGCAGCACCAGAAGTATAACTGTGCCATTCAAAAAAAAAAAAAAAAAAAAAGGGGGGGGGAGTGGGGAGGGCAGGAAGCCTTAATTGATTTGAAATTTGAATTGCAGTGAGCTATATGATCATACAGGAGGTATACAGTATATGGAAACTGTTTGCTTCCACACTGACTCAAGGATGCAGCCAGCCAACATCCACTTCTGGGATGCCATCATTGGCACTGGGCTTCAGCACCCACCCTGCTCCTATTGGCACTGTAGACAGACTTGAGACTTAATAAACATGACAAACACAATAAACATAATCCAGCACTTTAGCTAACAAAGACTCTCTCAGTGTATGGATGGTTTGCTGTGGTCCTCAGAAATAAAACTGGAAGTGTCCACTTGGGAGAGCAAGGAATGCAAATGAATACAAAGAACAGAAGGAAAAATTTTGGGCATGGAAAAGCACTGGGGGCTACAGGAGGAGATCTCTGAGAAGCCCTGTGGCTTCTCTGTTTACAAAAGCAATTGCTGTAGCCAGTCATATAACCTTGGGCTTTAAAGTCCACAATGTCCAGATCCTCAATATCACGGTGGTGTGTGCAGTGGGAGAACCTGAGTCTGGATCGTTATCTTCTCAAAGAATCTTTGACATTGTCAGAAATAAAGGCATCTGTAAGGTGCTATTAGACACTATGAAAATTACTGGAACTGCACCATGTACCACTCAGACTGGTTCCCTCATTGTTTTTATCTCATTTTCCAAAGGCACAGAAATCCAGGAGCAACTAAAGCCAGAATCTCCAAAGAGGAAATTATTTTCTCCACAGATCTAAGCTCCTGGAATGGGTCTCTGTGTGATTTAAAAAACATATATGTTTTCGCTTCTGTCTTCTTTACACCTAAGAAGGCTGTAAAGAAGGGGTGTTTAATTCTAATTTTTTTTTTTATTACTTTTATTTATATTTACATCAATGATGCAGTACCTTAATGTGCATAATCTCACTTAACTCACAAATCTAATTTACATCTATGAGGGAGAGTTAGGCTGGAGACAAGCATGGGAATACCCAATCTCACATTTTATTCCTGCCTAGGACTGAGTATTCACATGGTTTTTGTAGGCAGAGCAAGGCATTTCTGCACAATTGGGCTGAAGGGTCTACGGAGATTTTTACTGCCAGCAATTATTCATTACCCAAAGGAAAACAAAGAAAGGAAAAAAGCATTAACATATTGAGATAGAAAACAGTATAGGTTTCCTAAGAGTCCTGAGCATTTGCTGACAGCTTAGTCACTGAGCATTAGGACCTCTCCCAGCCTCACAGTGGTCTGTAGCCCCAGCGTTTGTCTGCTGTATAGCACAGTGACAGGAGCAGTGAAGAGGCAGAGCAGAGGTGGTGCAGGGAAACAGCAGAGCCACACTCACCGGTGGGTTGTTTGAGGCAAGCCATCTCACACCAGTTTTCCTCAGCATTTGGAAATGTCTGCTACGTTTGTGCCTCCACCTTGCCTCTGCCAGCAGCCCCAGAGGTGCACCACTGGGCAGCCAGGGAAGGAGCACAGCACAGTGCTGCTGTTGTGAACCCACGGGTGAGAAAAAGCCTCTCCAGATGAGTCACACAAAGTTCATTTTCATGCTGGCTTAAGTATTTGTAGAGTCATCTGGGTCCGATTGCTCAGCCCCTCCAGCAACTACAACCCTGATGGTATTTGTGAGTCTGAGGTACCTTTGATGGCTGCTTGGCTACACTAACCCAGTAAGAGAAAAAGCACAGTTTAGGACAAAGATGGTGGCAGAGCAGGTGGGAACAGATAGATATTGAAACACTCAGTCTGCTTTAAAGTGGCATGCAAATTGCATTCAATGGCGTGAAAGGTTTTGAGTTCTTTAATTTGAAAGTATGGGAAGGGAAAAAAAAATCTCACACCAAAAAAAGCCAATTAGGTAAGATCCATCTGGTACCAGCATTGAGCAGGACCAGGTTCCTCCACTTCACGGCCCAAAGGCCCCAGCTACAGGCCTGTTAGTTCAACAAGCTACAGCTCATTCTTATAATAAATAGCCCCAACTATTTTTGTCTACATGGACATGGAATCACTACTTCAGTACAAACTCTGCAAGAACCTGAAAAACTGCTGACCTCTGTGCTGGGCAGTATCTGGGGGCTGTCCTCTACACAAGCAGATCTATCACCTGTCTCCTGCTTTATGGTTCCCTTTTGCTGTACAGGGAGATGGTGGAGTCACCATCCCTGGAAGTATTTAAGAGACATGTAGATGTGGTGCTTAGGGATGTGGTTGGCAGTGGTGGGTTAGGAGTTGAACTCCATGATTTTAAAGGTCATTTCCAACTTAAATGATTCTGTGGCACATTGATCATCCTCTTCTCGTGACATGTCTGCTTTGAGGGCATGGGATAAACCTGGCTCCCTCTGCAACACAGGCTGAGGTCCCCCACTATGGCAGCTCTCAGAAGCAGCATTTGTGTGCTCAGCTACGTGCAGAGTCAGTGTAGTGCTAGGTCAGCTGATAACAAACTCCTTCAGTAGCTGAAGGGACCAGGCAGCAATTCAGTATTTATTACTGGGGGCAGGGATTCAGAAACACACTTGACAATCTGGTTATCAAGGTAAAACACAGCAGCTGCCTGGCTTGCATCCAGCATTTACCCTACAGACTGGTCACTGTGGGAAAAGAGCTTTCACCCAACACCAAGTGCAGGTACCACCTCTGAACACCAGGCAGTCAAGGATTTACCAAAAGGAAGGACAAACAAAAAGGGGGGGGGGAACAGGGAAGAAGGGAAGAACTCCCTGAACCTTCACACACAGACACAAGTCACCTTGCAGCAGGAACCATTTGTGAAACTGCTCCATGGAAGGTCAACATACTGCAGGTTCAATATGGCTGATGTGTATTTGTTTCACCTTTCCCACCACTCCCATAAACCAAAAAAAAAAAAAATCAAGCACTGGATTTTAAGAATATTTACTTTTTTTTTAATTTAAATTATACTTCCAAAGTATAAAACCTCACAATGAAATATGTTGCTAATTTCTACAAAATAGTCTAAATAATAATGCACTTACATCATTTACATAATGTACCTTCACAATAAAACAGGAGCACTTAGATCAATATTTACATATTGACAGAGGATGCGGCCGTGCAGTCATTCACTTCTGGTGCCTTCTCCTGCTGGAGTACCACCTCCAGGAGACCGCAGCCTGCAGTTGCGCACATATCCCTCTGGAGGGAGAAAGCCCTGCCAAAGCCTTTCGAGGTGCAGGGACCTGCCCCTAGGGTGCCAAAGAGCCCAAAATGGTGGCAAATACTTGTTTTTCCATCTTAAAGTTGCCACTGTAGCACATGAGCACACAATCAGTTATTTAAGGAATTCCCTGATACAGAATTTTGCTTCACTATTTAGGCACTTCATTATAAAAGTTATTTATTATGGCTTATGCAAAAGAACTCCCTTACCCCAGGACATGTATTTGCCAGTGGGAGAAAGAGACGTGTCTAAGGGCACACTTTAAGCCAACGTTTTGGATTAGCCTGCATTAGAGATTTGGATCACATTACTTAATATCAGTCATGAAGGAGGTATTTTATCAAGACCTGTTTGTTCCAGCAAGTCAAGCAGTCAGTGTATTTTAAATCTTAGGGTATCTGCACTGTTCCCCAAAATTCTTAGTAACTACAGATTTCCCTCTTACAATAAGTTAACTACTTACATCCATGTTGTTCAATATCCCACATGATTGTCTTAAAAGAGTACACTGTAGGTTGAGGGATTATTTACATATCTTAACATGTAGAAAATAAAGTTGTAATTTACCAAATAATAAATATAGATCAGAGAAGAAGACTGAAATAAATTAGAATGATTCTCTAGGTGTTAGAACTCCCTCCCTTAAGGCCTGAGACAAAGACCATTAAAAAAAAAAACCCAACAAAAACCAGTGATGTATTTTCAATGTCTCACAACGCTTTGGATAGGGTTCCTAATTAGACACCAGCTGTTTGAAATGAGATGTTTAGTTAAGCTGATGGGTATTTGAAATCTATATGATCAAACAGCAAAACTTACCTCTAAGAGGAGTCTTTTGGGTAAAACTTTTTAGACCAAACATTAATACTGTTTTTATTGGGAGGATTATAGTTCTTGCAGATTGTCTCAACATTAATTCAGCAGCAAGGAAATAAGCATACAGTTAAGAACACAACGTATTTGTGAGGCAAATACGTGTTAGTGCACATGATTTTCCAAAAACTTCTCTCCTCAGCTACATTTGTGCATATATCAGAATGCTTCTAACTAGATGGTTAATAAAAGTCTTCTCATGCCTATAGCTAAGTTTGCCACTTAAAAAAATTAACTGAAAAACAGTTATGAGTAACTTACTCAAGAATGACGCCAAACTTCAGGTCCAAATATATGAGAACACTGAGAAATTTGAAACCTAAGTAAAAACCTTAAAACTTAGATCTATCAAACTTCAAAAAATGAAAAAGTTTAAAAGCAGTGAATCTGCTCTCATAATTGCACACTCACCAGTTTGTAAACTCTACATGAAGTCAGTGATGCACTGTTCACTATAAGAGGTATAATGTAGATGCTCTATGCAAAGCAGTGCAGATGCTTTGTTTGCAGTTTCTTTCATGTCTCCTTTTTGTCTTCCTTGAGGATTAAGCACTTAAAAGTAATTCAGTAGCTAAGAAGTCTGCCTTAGAGGAAAAGGTCAAGGTTTACATGGAAGGGGGCGTGACAGGCGTCCACGTGGATGCCAGCCTGGCATGTGTGGAGGCATCATACTGGCTGTCGGGCAGGTCCGTGGAGGCCCCACCGTCGTACAGCGGGGAGGCAGAGGAGGTGGCTGCGACCGGGTGAGGAAGAGCAGTGTAGTGTGCAGGAGAGCCACGCAAAAACTGGGAGCTCAGGCCGTTGGACATCCCGCTTGACTGAGACACCGGCGTGATGGTGCTGTTACTCACAGACCATAAGTTGGGGTACTGACTGAAAGAGGAAAAGTGATAAACAAAACAAGTTATTAGTGACTCTAGTGCCTGCTGGCAGTTTCTCAGGTCACAACACAGAGCCCAAGCTGGGTCCATTTGCTGGAGTTGATGAAATTCACTAAGCTGTCCCCAGCCACTGTGAGGTAGGAAAGACCCCCAGGCAGGATTCGTGTTCATGGCACCTCACAAATAAATCTAACCTCCCTGTTTTCCAGGTTCCAGCACTAGGTATACTAGCCAATTTTAAGCCAAGCTGAGGAATGCAGAGGCTGGCTGAAAAATGCAGAGGTTTGAGAGCTGATTCCTGAGCCATGATGGCATTAGGGGGAAAGGCACATGGTAGAGGTGGCTGGACACAGCAGCTGTTGGAGGCAGGCAGGTTTGAATACCCTGCCATGAGTCTGATGGAGTCCCTTGGGTGCCTCTGTAGTCAGACAGGGAGGGATGCCTCCATACAGCAACTCAGCCCTCCTTGTTCATCAGCTCATGTTAGAAGGGGAAGCACCAGACTGCAGATCACACAGATACTGCAGAAAGGGCTGCTTGGAAGGAAAAAAGCTTTATCAGGACACTAGAGCCTCTGCACTGTCTCTCTTCTAACTATAAACAAACACACCTAAACATTAAAAAAACCAGGACAATTAAAGAGAAATATTATGAGTAAAAGTAAAGTTCTGATGTATAATACTACACAGCACTTTCTACCTATTGATCCCAAGCAGTTTAATAAGAAAGAAAAATATTATTCTTACTTTACAGATAGGGGTTTAGACAAAAAGGGTGGCAGAAATGCCTTCTTTGAGTCCCACAGTTCCATTTCTACTAGTTTTATCTACTGGACAGCTCAATGCAGCAAGTGAAACTCAGTGGACTTTGCAACTTTCTAAATATATATCCTGGGAGTCAGACATAGAAAGAAGTGCTGGGAAGACCTGTTTACTCAATTAATCTTGTTCAGGACTAAAGCTTACGTTCAGTAATACCAGTAACTCATACTGAGTAGTAGTACATAGTCTGATTAACAGCCAAGTGTCCATGTGCATGGTTCAAATAAAAATGCCTTCCACAAATAGAATGGTAAGTCTGAATTGTTGAGAAAGGTGTTCAAACCTTGTCCCTCTGTGGTTAATAGCAAATATTTTACCACCTTTTCTGTATGTCTTTGAATTTTCAAGTTTAGTTCCAAGAGACTAACTGTAAGCTAGATCTCTGTTAAAGGATCCAAAAGTTTAATTAAGATAATAAGTAAAAAGAGGAGAAAAGATACATTTTTAGGAACACAAAATAACAAGACTTTCACCACATGTATAATCCCATGCTGGGCTGGTTAGAGTGGCAATGTTTAAGTAAAGAATTACTGCCCCAACTGTGTGCTCCTTCTCCTCAATACAGTTCACTGCTCCAACATTTATAGCAGAACAAGGGTTTATGGAGATGGCTGAGAAAGTAGTTACTGAGCAAAATGAAAGAAATAAAAAATTAACTTTTTAAAACACCATTATGCTGAAAGCAGATGAAACTTCAGAAAGCATCCTCAAATTCAATGTATTCAATTGTCTAAGTGATTTTCAATCCTTAATCTATCAAATATTGCTGTCACAAGTAACTACATCTCCAAAACCAAAACATTAAAAAAGAAATTTTGTTTCTTCAATTCTATTTTCCTTGTGAATAGTCCTTCTCAGTGCCCCACAAAGAACTAACGATTCACACGTGGCCATAGGGATTTCTAATTTGCTGATGACTGTCTCCTTTTTCAGCCCCCTCTTCCTAGAAAGTACTAAGACATCGATTTGAGGGCTGCTGAGGGACAGAATCCTACCTGGAGCTGGTAGCTGTGCCAGTGCTGTGACTCATGGGCAGCATCGTTGTGTGTGTAGTAACTCCTAGAGAAGACCAGTTGTCATGGGACTGCAGCATGGATAGGCAGGTAGAGGAGTTATCAGCATAGGCTGCTGAGAAAACAAATAATCACTTAAACACACTAGAATCAGGCCACATAATCTTGTATTTAAATGCAATCTATAGCTTTAAACCACCTCCCTCAACAGAATTACCCACACAGAGAGGAAAAAAAATGGAGCCGCAACCAGTTGTGTCAAGCTCAACCTTTCACCGGCATTGCCCTGACATGCTGTTTTGCTCAGCTCACAACTGCAAAGTCTTATTTCTGTGAAGGAGCTATAGGCAAAAAGCTATCTGCAAACCACCTGCTAATTTAGCCCATGCTTCTTTATTCAGTCTGTGGGAAGAGGCAGGCTCTTTATTGACACTATTGCAGTCACTTGGGGACCTTCTAGGGCACTTTCTTTATCTCCATCACCTACACTGGCAGTAACACTCTGGCAGACCTGGATAACAAGCATATCACTGAATTACACACACCAGTTTTGAGCTGAGTTGCCATGGGCTTTGAAGTCCACCTTGGGCACCATTAGGAGTGATTGGACTGTGGCTTAGACTACTCAGCTTGTGACCAAAACTGGCTGGCCAATACAGCGGAGGCTCTAGGAAGCTATAAAGGGAATTCCATACAACCATCCATAGTGAGAAAGAAGTTGCTGTGGCAGCTGCCTAAGTGAAGAAGAGGTTCCTTGCTGAGGACCAGGGAACAAGAAGGAACACCGGAGGTGTTTTCTTCTTTTATTATTTAAATTACAAAACTTGCATGAAACTTCCACGATGCAAGAAAAGTTCACAGAAAGCTAGTTTTTCACTTCCAAATGAACTACAAAGCTACATACGAGATTGGACAGGCTGCATCTAGAAGCCTGTGTATTACTTCACAATTCAAAATATGAAATAATTATTATGGGAACCTACAATATCCACACAGCCTTAAAGGTAAAAATTGTTAATCATTCTTTGCAAGAAGAAAGAAAATATATTTAAAAAAAAAAAAAACACTTAAAAATGCTCTTTTCTCCCTTAAGTATCTAGTGCTTGAGACACTAAGCCTTAAGATATTTGCCTATTTCTGAGCACAGCTTTTAATAGCTCTGCAATTTACTCTATATTATTTCTTTTTATGCAGCTATGGCACGGACATTAACTACAGCTACTGGCAACTGAAACTAACATAATCAGGCCCTCAATTATTACATGTTAATAATATGTGATACTAACACAACCAGATATACATCTTCATTTCAGTGTATTGCCTATAAATAATCATTTAAGTCCTTGTTTTCAAACTTAAAAAAAAAAGTAAGTTTAAGCTAAATGGTGTCAAGAAGTCAAGAGCACAACACAAAGTCAGCACAACATAATCCAATCAATTACCAGGGGACAGTTTTTCCATCATAAAGAGACTGAAGACATGTACCCACCACCCCCTTTTCTTCGCAATGCTGACCCCAAGCCCTCCGCAAAAACTGAGCTACTTAACGACCTTAATTTCTGGGGCATCACACTCGATGCCTCTGCTCAAAGCTCAAATCCCGCAGCTCATCCCCCACCTTTTTACAGAGCTGCAACATCAGACTTACTTGGTGAGTTGTTTCTATGAGTGTAGGGGGTGGCATAGGGGGCAGGACGGTGGTTCCTCAGCGATGAGTACCTTTCACAGCTGTGAGCAGGGGAGAGTGACAGGGGGGCTCCAAACTGGGCATGAGGATTGGCAGGTGGGCACAGAGTTCCAGTCCCAGGAATAAGCCAACTACCTACTGGGGGGAAGCAAGAGGTCTGTGAGAGGGCTATGTAATGCAGCCAGGCAGGAAGAGAAACAACAGCTTAAAAGAAGCCCCGTGTCAAGCCAACATTTTTTTTAAATTACCATTTCATTACAATCACAGTAAAGAAATACAGAAATTGTTAAACCCTCCCATACGCAGGTAGTGTGTGCTCAGTAATTGTTAGCATGTTATTCAGTTTTAAATTGCTCTTTGAACTCAATCTGTAGCTAAGCTCTGAAGTTTCTCAGACTGCTAAGAATTCCTCTTAAAAATTAATTATTTTCTCCGAAACAAAATAATTCCTACTGCAAATCAACTCGCCCCCTTTATAGGCTGCACTGTTTTGTCAATCATCTGTTAAAACCGAAATCATTAAAACACTAATGCTTTTTAATCATCTGAAAAAACTTTAGGTGAATGCCCATATTTTTCTTAGAATACTTAAACCATAAGTACTGTTTCGATAATTCTATGAAATAAACTTTTGTCGCCATATCCACGTGAACATTGTTGTCCTTATATACAAAGGCAGTTGTCTTTTTGGACATGAAGGCAATTGCAAGATTCTATTAAATTATTTTGAACGTAAGTAAAGAAGTCTTAACCACAGAGATCATAATGTTTATACAATCATAAACCTGCACAAACCACAATCACAAGGACTGTTAATACTATTCTCCCTATGAACTAACAAGCCAGCCAGCAAACAGCAGTCTCAAGGTTTTGCTTAACGTAACAGATGAGATGGAAGAAATCAAAGTTATGCTCATGATGTGTAATGAAAGGAAACGTACACTGTGAATACCCAGACTGCTGATTATCTCCCACTTCCTCCATCATGTCTTTGTGATCACTTCTATAAAAGAAACCATGTTGTATTAGTCAAGAATATGCCTCTACAAATCTACGTTAAAAATCCACACTTTAGAATTAAATTAAGAGCTCTCACCTTTCTTTTGCATCAAGAAATGCCTTTGCAAACGGATTGTATTTAATTTTTAAAGCTGTGATCTAAAAACAACAACAAATATCTTTATTTACAAGTATCACCATTCATTATCACACTGACATTAGGATTTGAATTAGGCCTATCCACTGAAGTTGGTAAAAATCACTGACTTTTTAAGAAATAAAAGTAGGGCCATAATAGCAACCTTCAGACATCAGATAAACAGCTCATTAAGGTCTGAAGTAGTATCAAAGGGCTAGGAATTAGTTTCTCTGCCAAATTCTAAAATATTGAATTGCCCAGGTTTATTGATCATCTAAGGAAATACCTAAGAAAGGTACTGCACTAAAGAGTTATGAAAATCTTCATATTTCAAGCCAGAGCAGAACAGACACCAAAGAAATCTCAGAAAGATTGGTAGTTTGCAGATTCATTCAACATAGATGCAGATTTAGGCTAACAGAAAAAGGGCTGTCCCAAAACTGGCACATCCAGTTATTTCACTGTGTAGCTGAAAATGACAACCATACTTCTTATCATAGTTGTTTGCCCCACAAAATCTTTTAAGAATTACTCTCCTACAATGAATTTGCAGTACATATTGAGACAATGATCAGAACTTTGTGCCATAACACATTTATACGGCTTTTACATACAATAATTCAATTTTTTATATTTAGCTTAAAAAAAAAATCATAGGAAGAACTGAAAAACGTGAAAAGAGATCCATTATTTTGCTCTGCAGCATGCACTTTGCTACTTAAAACTTCCTGGTAGTGGCATCCTTTCTTCCCTGCTGTGCATACCTCCTCGTTCTGGTAGGCCGTCACGGCTATAAACTGGGTCTCTGGGAAGGAATGGCTGGTGATCATCCGTTGTGGGCCACCCACTCGCACTATATGAATCCTTGGCTCATACTTATGCAGGGAGTTCAACATGATCTGTGAGCAAGTGGACAGAGCAGGTGAGCAGGGACAGAACAGTGGCAGATGCTAGCAGGTACAGAGAGCACACAGGTTTTAAAGTTATCTAAAAGAAAAAAGCAACAGGTATGAATAAACCCTAAAACTGAAGCTGTAAGAGAAGAAGTGCACTGAGAACAGACCACAGCTTTGTGCATGGTTATCCTTATCCCTGTTACTTGACAGGGTGCTTGCAGAGTCACTAATGCTTCAGTGATATGCTAGCCAGAAAGATTCATCTACCACATCGTTGGCATAATTCAGATCAGAAACAGACTTCTGAAAAGGAAAGTCATAAAAGGCACCCGTCTTCGGTAGAAAGAGCAAGTCTCCTGAAGGAATGAAGTCGTGGGGGGGAAGATGGAGGCGGAAGCGCGACCCACCCCAGCACGTTTGATAACAGCAGCATGAAAACGAGCTTTAAGGAGAGGGTGAGCGAGCAGGGGGCTTGGCAGGACCCGCCGCCCCGCAAGAACCGAGCCGGGCCGGGTCGGTTCAGCCCCGCTGACCGACGTGTCCCGGTGCCTATGCCGGTGCTTACCTGCCCGCCGCCGTTGAGCTTGTTGGTGAGTTTGACTTTGCTGAAGGAGACGGGCGCCTTCATCCAGTGGGCGCCGAAATTAGGCGAGTCGGGGTGGATGTAGACGCAGCTGGGCGCCTGCGGCTCCGGCTTCCCGCCCGGCACCCACTCCCCGTTCACGTACTTCCAGCGGTGCCCGTCGGCCGCCACGAAGTCCAGCAGGAAGGAGTACATGGCGTTGGGATCCAGCCCCGACACGCTCACCTTCAGCACCGGGAACATCCTCCTGCGGGGCGACGCGGAGGCGCGAGGTGCAGCGGGGCCATCCCGCAACCCGCGGCACCGGGACCCCCCTCGCCCCCCCGCGGGCGGCCGGGAGCGGGGCCGGCGGCAGCCCTTCCCTCTCTCTCCCTCCCTACCTGCCGTTCTTGGTGACAATCATCTCGTTGGTGAGCTCCTTGAAGCGCAGCCACAGGTCGCTGTCCTCCAGTGAGACGCGCAGCTCCCGCTCCGTGGGGTCGCCCTTCTCGCTGCCCGCCTGCAGCTCGCTCTCCACGGCGCTCAGCAGGTGATCCACGCGGTATTGCGGGGGCTTGCCCGCGCCCTCCGGGCCGGGGGAGCTCATGCTGGCCCCGCGCCCGCCCAGCGGGGCAGCTCCGTGGCACAGCCCCGAGAGGAGCCGGGCCAGGCGCTACCGTCCCCCTGGCCACTGGGCGGCCCCAGCGAGGGCGCGCGGCCGGGGCCGCTGTTACTAGCCCGCCATAAACGCCCCCCGGTTACATTCACCGCGCCGCGGGGGGCCCCGTTGATTGGCCGGCGGCGCCTTTTGCATCCGCGGGCCGGGCCTTCGCCATTGGCGGCCCGCGGCCATATCACAGCGGGGCCCGCGGGGGCCTGTGATGTTTAATTGCGGCCCGCGGGATTGAACGCGGCTATTTTATGTAAATCTGCCCCCAAATGTTTGCACCTCTATCAAAGCCGCCGGGGCCTGGGCTCCGGCAGCCGCGGAGGAAATGGCCCATCTCGGCAACTGCCTCACACCTGCGAGAGCGGCACCCTCCCGCCTCTCGCCGCAGCGAGCCCCCCGGTCCGCTTTTAGGCAGTCAGTCCTCGGCGGGAGACACCTCCTCCGCTGATCCATGTTTAGGGGAAAAAACGGGAAGTCCTTCTCCACAAGCAGCCGCAGGCTGTCAGCACCCACACCCACCCCCGTTCCCGCGCTGCCCCTGCCCCCTTGACAGAAACTTCTGCTGCAGTGAAGAATGCAGTTGGCAACGACAACCCTTGCAGTAAAATTTAGCCAAAGAGCCGAAACAGCACTGTTAAGCGGCTGACCACGAACCTGGCACAGCACGGGCACTCCCCGCCAGCAGCTCCCCGATTTTAAGTGAGCCTAGGAGCCCACCCGTGAGAAAAGTCGCAGTTTGCCACCTAGCACCACCAGCACGGGCAGCGCGCTCGACAGCGATAGTTTCGAGCCTCCCTACCTAAATAAAACATTTAAAAAAAAAAATCTAAAAATCATATCGATGGTTACCTGCCATCCCACCTAAATAAAAACATACTTCTGAAAAAACAGATCGACAGCTAAAGGCTTCATTTCGTGTAACAAGGAGAAACCCCCGGGAGTTCCGGCGGTCAAGAGTGGAGGCTGAGCCTCACGGGTGAAACTTTGCAACGGGCTGAATTTCTTGTAAAGTTATTTGACACAAAAACAAGAGCCGGGATGAGGGAGAGAAGAGATGCTCTGAAGCACTCCCGCCCGCCGGTGTTGTAATAGTTTGCATTCTCCAGGGCTGTGGCGGTCTGTGGTGTGAGGGAAACAGTTTATTACCTTTCCGTGAGAATCCCTGGATAGAGGGTGAGGGGGAGAGAGGTGACAATGAGCAGGAAATAGTTCAATGGGGTCTCTTTAAACAATAACGAGTCCTTTAAACGGGAGCAAAGGAGAGGGAAAAAGAAGGGGAGCGGTGTAAAAATCAGAGTTGTTTCTAAAATAGGCATCTCCTCCAAACACCGCGCATCATCTCTGCCGGGATTTTTCACATTTTAGGAGAAAGTACCCCTGTTACACTGTCGAGCTGTCTGGCAGCAGAAGGAGCTGGAAGTCAGGGCTGCCAGGGGAAGGCACACTGAAGGTCCTTTTTGCGGGATGCAGACGGTGGTTCAATCCGGGCACCGGCTCTTTCTGAGGAGAGACACCCCCTGCCTCCACGTCCTGCCATTCCACGCTCAGCACCCAGCGGAGCAGCAGCCTGAGCGTATCTGCCCTCGTCAAACTTCAAATAATGCCCCGCTATTACTTTCGGTTTCTTTTTGGTTTAGGAGCTACGGCTTTGGGCTGTATTTTCATTACACAGCACCATCGGGCTCATATATCATTAACTTAACTCCGCAGAGCTTTTTTTTTCCCTTTCAACCTGATGTGCCGAATTCCGCAAGCCATCTCTCTTCAACCACTGTGCAGAAACACGCGAAAAAAATGTTAACCCTTCAGAGTAATACCTGTGTTAAATCTTAAAGTTCTTTCTGCCTGACCACCGCCTGCTTTTTGTCCTCTTTGGAAGGGGAAAGCAGCATTTGCAAAGAAATTATGGACAAAGTTTACTAAGTTGATACGTAGTCACTGCTAGCGGTAGTTGGAAATGATCTTTTCGACTATCAAGTGTTTATTTCACTGAAGGCGCTCCACTCAAAACAAGCAAACACGACCTAACAAAAGCCACGAGCACTTAAGCCCCGCCAGGGCACGGCACGCTGTCTTTCGAGTGGGCCGGCAGCCCTATCTTTGGGGTTGTTGCTTTGAAGGCGACATTTCAAACATCTTAATCCTTAAACAAAAAGCTGAGCACCAGGACAGGCTAACCCCGAAGAAGGACTCGCACAGACAGTCGCTCGCTCCGTACAGGTGACAGGGAGAGACTTTTCAACTCTTGCAGAAGTCGCATCGCTTTTAGGGTACGGTCCGCGGAGGGGAAAGGGGACGAGAGTGGTGGGGTTGGTGATGGTGGGTCCCGTGTAGGCAAACTTCAGCCTCAGCTCTTCCTCAGCTCTACCCCACCTGACAATGGACGTGTTTAAGAGCCGAAAGCAGCGGGAACAGCTGGAATTGAAAGCGACAGAGCGGTTTCGGTGGAAAAATGAACCATGCCGAAAATGAAGAAATAAAATAATTAGAGACGATCTAAATGTGAGTTTAGGTGATGTGAGTTTTTAAAACACCATTTAATTCTTCCAGATCGATGCTCCAAGGAAGGACTAATTCCTTACACATATATACATATATGCACTCAAGGAATGGGAAACCCTTCGGCAGCAGACACTTATCCACACAGTTGATACTTTTTGCACTGATCGCTCTCTTTAGACAAAGGGAGGAGAGTTGAAGTTCAATTTGATTTGATATATTTCATGTTTTATTTAATACTTAGCAAATGAGCGAGCCACTCATCCCAGACAAATGATGTATGCTCTCAAATTTAGTTGGTCTTTCAAAAAAGAAGCTTCTCCAGCTATCAATTTTAAAATGACCATGAAGAAAACACCCATTTCCAGGAGTTTATACATAATCTTTTGAACGGGGAAAAAACCAAGACCAACCTAACAACCAGCCCAAAATATCCAACAAGCCCAAACCCTAAAGTTTCCCCCCAATTTAGATTTCTGTTGTCTTTCTTTTATTTTGTTTCCTTTCCCCTCTTTCTGATCTTAATTGTTCTTTGGTTCTCAGGAGAGAGGACTCCCCAGTTCCACAGTCTTTTCACCGGGAGCTGCAGTGCATGACAGTTTACAGCCAAAAAACTTCCTTCAGCTGAACAGCTATAAAGATTCCCGATTTATAGCAATACTTTTCCTCTTGCATGGGAAGAACAGTAGCCTCCAGCTGTTACTTCGGGTTCAGAAGGCCTGTCAGTCATTCTCTACCTTATTCCCCGGGACATCGCAAACCCCCAGACACCTTCTCAGCGGGAACCCGTCCGTACCCGAGGTCCCACAGCCCTCGGGTACCAGCTGCCCCCGTGCAGCTTTAACCGCCTGGGGATGCCGTGAGAAAATGTGAGAGCGTGTTTAAGTATTGGAGGTATTTGTTTTATCCTTCAACTTGCAGTTCTGGGGGGGGACACATGCCATTAACACTGCCCTTGGTGCCAGACCTGCGTCTTTGCAGCACTCCAACCCCATCCCATCCTGCCCCGGGCAGCAGCCGTGGGCAGGGCCGGCACCCACTGCGCCTGGGAATGAAACCCACCTTCCAAAAGTCAAAACTTCCCACCCCTGAAGAATAAACACCTTCTTTCCCACTGCTTAGCTTTTTGCTTCCCCCACCACCACACTAATAAAAACTAATACATTGATTATGATACATATGTAACAGATGTATATCTCTACTTGTCAGTTGCTTTTTCCTGGACACCGGGAAGGAATCTCCTACTGATACTACTACTATTGAGGCATTAATGTGGATGTAAATGCCATTTTCCTGGGAAGCTTCTGGACTTCATTTAATCTGGCATATCATTTTTCCTTATATACAAGGCTTAAACAAGAAAAAGCCTAAATGTCATGCTGGAAGAGCTTTATATAAGAACTCACCATTTTGTAACCCCATTGTGCTAACATATACCCACACAAGACATGATAACCTGGGAAAACACACAGTGGTTTTATCCATTTTAAGTTCATACATTGTGAGCATTAAGCCTGTGGAATAAGTATGCTTCATGTTCTCTGCTTTTAGTATTTAATAGGATGATTTTCTCCACAGGTTTAGATGCATACATATTTTTAAAAAACATTTTCTTTTCAAGTAGTCTGAGCAGAGCACAACATGTTGATTTTGGTTTGTTTTGCTTTCCCCCTTTAGGATTTGGGAGAGCAAGGCAGAGTGCCATCCTGCATTTTGGGAAGGTGGCAAAACTCTCGTTGACTTAGTCAGATCTTTGCTTGAGTACTGCTAAGCACCCTCTCCAGCTCAAATGCTCAGATCCTGAGGTTTCCCTCATGAAAGTCAATGATCAAATCAATGATCAAACTTCCAATGACTTCAGCGACTGCTGCACCAACAGGAAAAACAGCAAAACAAACTGAAGCTCCCACAAAAGCCCATAAGGCTGAGTCTGGAACAAAGATAGATGAAAACAGCAAACTTGAGAGCAGAGTTTTTTTGATCCAAACTCAAAATTTTGAGCTAGAATATCTTTTTCAATATCTTAACAGTATTGCTTAGATGACTAGTGTTATTTAAACCAAATTATCCTGAGTGAACTGCTGGGAACAAGTGATGACACAAACAAGAGCCACCCACCATTCTTAACAAGTTATTTCGTTAAAAGCTGCAAAGAGAGACAGGCACCACAGGGACTACAGGGGATGCAGAGAAGTAGTGGAATAATAGATACTGTTTACTGCATTATCCTGGTCTAAAGGATAACTCTAAAAAAACCCCCAATCAAACAAGAACAAAACAACAAACCAAAATAAAAATACCCAACCCCACAATGAAGACATATTCTGCTTCAAACAGGGACCATAGGAATCTGATGACAGAAAGCACTAGCATTGTTATAAATGACCTAGCAGGAGTCCTGTTGGGAGACTCTACCATAAACACCACCTTTTCTTATAG